AATAGATGGGAAAGTTCTCATCGGATGTTATGTTGAATACTGTTATCGGGTCTAATGTATTTGAAAACATTTCTGGAGGAATCTTCAAGAGATCTAACAGGAGGATGTACATTGCAGTTAAATAGACATCCCCTTAAGGACACACTTATCTTTTGAAGAAATGTAGGAAGGAGTGAATTCCCCACAATATATTTACACTTCACTTCATCATATACACATGAAAGTTGTGATGCAATGAATACACTACACACAGTGTTTATAATTTATTACAAATGTTATTGCAGAAGGTAATATAAGGTATACATTTTGAGAACCGACCCATCAAAATTGCCTCCGTGAATGTAAGAAAGAAATAACTTCCCAGTTATCCACTGTTTATTGCTGGTTTCATTACTTTTGCATATATTTTGCAGCTTTTAGATTGCAGGTGTAACTGTCATGATTATCTACACAACATTCGTACAAGTTTCGTACAAGTTGATACTTGCATACTCTAGTCTAGGTATCTGTCCATTCGATGGGATGATAATTTGACAAACTGACTTTTCCCGATTCCGAAGTGAATATGATGAACAACAATTAAATGGAATACAGCCATTGACGTAGGGTCATTTATATTTAGAACTGAGTTAAGATGTTAATATATGAGCCAGTTGATAATTTACTTGCTAAACACTTGAATATTTTAAGTGATATAAGCATGAGCTGACTCCCTGGAAGATCAAAGTAGAACAACTGACAAATTTATAGTTGGTGAATCTCAAAAGATATTTGAACTTTTACAAGTTAAAACCTTCCTCTTCATCATTTGATTGAGCTCTGACAAACTGATAAGAACTAACCAAAAGAAAAGTTGTAATTTTCGTCACTCTGAAAACTTTATTTCACACTTGAAGCACAAAACAGCTTAAAATCTAATTTCCGAAGTCCCTGATTTGGCAAATTTGAAATTTTTTCTACACATCAGGAGGTTTTGTAGGTGAGTGAGGATTTCTTGAAATTTACTTGAATATTTTATGTGGCTAATATGTGTTATTAACTGTCAAGCCCGGTTGATAGGTGACGACTGAACATAACGACGGTAACTGCTTATTTCACGCTTGCTTATTTAACCTACTATTCGCAAGACATACAGGTATACCGACTTCACCTCGATTTACTATTCTTCCTAATTATTATATATCCCATTTCAAAGCATTTTCACTAATGAAAAACTTTATTCTACAGCTGGAAAGGTAAGTCGATATGCTTTGTAACGTATGGTCCTTCTAGTATTCAGAGTTCCATGTCATTATTTCACTACTTGATAAGATGTAGGTATTTTTCATTCACTAGAGTTTGTTTCATCTATATCGCTCTTTTTCCAATTATCGGTAAAACGTCATGATAGATATTGGATAGTGGCGAATCAGTAACCACCTTCAAAACTTCTCTGTACCATTTTCATTTGAAAAACAGTTTATCACTAAAATATTTTATTGTTTTTTTCTATGACACCTAAATGTTCTGTTGAAACTTTGCATCAATAGGTCTACGGCTATAGAATTTGAAGTGGTTTTAATGTAAAACTGTTGCCTAGTGTTTTAGGTTAATTTGGTGAATATCACTCGAATCTCTGAATACAATTATATTATGAAAGCTGAAAGTATTCACTCAGCACATAAGCTTAGTAATGGAATATTAAGCCATTGGTATGAAACATTCATTTTTGTCTAAATTGTTTCTCTCAAATGAATGATCTTCATATTTAATGAGAGTCGATCAGTATTATTTTCAACCAGAAAAACACCAAATAAGGTTATATTCATACAGAGAACTAATTTACCGTTTATTATTTTCTCCAATACAAGAAATAATGAAGGTATGTTATTCTCACATTCTGATTTCTAATGAACATAAATAACAAACAGTAAACCGCATAACTGAAGTAGACGAATCGTTGTTTTATCAGATGAGCGGAGAGTGAAAAATGTAGGCGACTGGGTGATAGGAATTACGAGGAAGTGAGCATTATTCAAATTATTTTTGATCGAAGGTAGCACAATCAGAAAACAAAATTCAGTGTCTCCTAAACTGCATCATTATGAATAAGAAAGATTCATCCCTAATGCTATCCGGATAGTAAAGCTAGGATCTATATGGATCCTATAATATCTAACAAATCTCAGTGTACTACAATTGGTTATTTGACATTAGTTTCCCACCTGTTCATCATAGTTTAACTAATAGACATTTGGTGTTAAAAAGAATGTCAGGTTTGTCTGACTAACATTTTCGCTTGAAATTCTCGAAGATTATTCCATAAGCTGCACAGATATAATCATCGTGATACTTCAGAAATCAGTTACTTCATATGTTCAGGTAAACTGATAAAAGAGAGTTTGACACGACATATCATAGGAATTTGTTCAGTTAAGTTCAACAAATCACAACTGCTGGAATACTAAACACGTATTATCTAACTGACAGTTCGCCGTAAATCCTTTCCGTATAAGCTTGATTGTGACTCTTCTTTCAGCGAATCAGGTGAGTTTAAGTGAAGTATATAAATAAAGTAAAATATTCGAATTCTTAAGAGTATGAAATTTTCCTATTGTTATTATGTCCAAATTGACTGAATGTCATGAGTCTACTACCCTAACTGATTAATACATCTATCTAACACAATGAGTGTTTTACTAATCAGTAAAGATGTAACCACGGAATTCTCTTGTGTTTTCCGCTAATATGTTTATAAAGTCACTAGTTACTAACAGTTGACCGAAATCTTCGTTCGCCTGTGAAATGCAACAGATTGGTGCTTTTGCACCTCATTTTATTTCACCGGTTTCATGTGAGTGATTGATTCTTTTGCGTGAATTGCTTCACACACTGATTTGGTCGAAAGATATTAAGTGTTGAGACACTTAGGTGAATATGTTGAAACTTAGGAAGCAATCGGTGTTAAGCTTTGCTTGACATAGGTTTCGTGCTAACTGAAACTCGTCAGTAATGCGCATAAGCAATCTCGGAGGACCTGATGTCTTTTGCGGAGATTCAAACTGGAACGTTATTTGTTTCAATTCATATAATACACCGTGAGCAGAAGCTAAGGATTTTTTTCATATCGTCAGCAAATGTGTGTATATCATTCCTACATGTCAAATAACCTCTGTAATATAAAATTCATTTAAAATCTCCTTTCTTTATCTATACTGACCCTTCTACTAGCACAGTTAAATCTAGAATAGCATTAAAACTTTGATCTGACTGAATTCAAAATTTCTTTGGGTGCATGATTACACTAACTGATATATGTGTGATTTTGATTGTGAATGAGAAAATATTGCTAGTGAGTTAGTGTCTGCATAGCTACCAATTAGAACCATTCTATGCGGGTTGTTCATCAGTTCCGTTGAGCGAATGAAATATAGAACAAAACGTTTCTCTTCAGAGTTAGTGAAAATGATCAGATTTGCACAATAATCAGGAATCCAGTCACCGCTCTTAACTGTCGATTTGCGATGTTCTCATGATATGACGTCCGATAGCTTTTCGACTGCCATGCACTGTACTTGATAAGCAAGTGTTTTGATTTATGATACAATGATTCACCGACGTTTATAAGTAATATCAGTGGAGTCTGTGAAATGTAACATCTACTCAGGCAATCAGTCAACAGTGTTCCATCTCAGTGGTATAAAATAAAGGTGTTTATTCAATACGAGGCATATAATATCACTTTGAGGAAATAAATGATTTGTTAATGATAAAAAAAATATGTGTAGGTTAAGTTCAAGAAAACAGAAGTTCCATACTTGGATGCAACAGCTATACAGGCTCATAGGTTTTCAGTGGTTCTTCACTTGATGTCAGTCCGTGATTAATGTCACCCTGAAATCAATAAATCTACACATTCCTTCAAATTGATAATAGACGTTCTTAACAAAGAATCTATTCATTCAAAAATCACAACCAAAAATTCTTGAATATTATTTTTCGCAAAGATTTTAGCAATCAACACCCACTGAAGTGAATAACACTGAAGGTATAACACGTTCTTATCCACAATTTTTCCTTTAGAATATACTAGTCATCCGGCGGCTTATTCACCGCAGTCAATGCCACATTCCGGTGAGCTAAGTATTACATATACATATTTATATATATATTCATTTCGACTACCTGGGATAACCGTGATTTGGCAGACTGGTATTGAAACTGGCTGATGACTGAAGGTGAAACAAAAACTTCACCAATGATGGGATTCTAACCAGTAACCGTCCAGTTCTCAGGCTCGGTGCTCCATAATCAAACTGTGGTAACCAATCACGAATTCATATGATGGTTTGGCAAAATCCTTGGTGTTTGAGATGAAATAACAATCTGGTCAACAGTCACGTATTGTAGTTCAGTTGACAGAGCACCAGCGCGATGCAGCTGGAGGTCACATAAGTAGGATTTTTATCCAATTTGATTTTCTTCAGTAAGCAAACGATGTCATATACTGTCACACGTTTAAGTCTAGGAGAACATTTACTTCAAGGCTTCATTGTTCTTCGAATATATTCGTTCATTTGATGAATGTACCTTGGATACAGGGCAAATGAAGGCCCTCCTTCTTTCAAAACTATGGTTTTTAAGACTTTCATCCTTTCAGTTTTATACTTAGCTATGAAAATTTCCAGGTATCAACTGACTCTAAAACTCTTTTTACTAAAGTTCAACTCATGCTGATCTTAGTAATTCCCTTGAAGTTTTTTGCAGTTTATACGTTGTCTCTCAAGTAAATTTTCTCTGCCATGTAAAATTTTCATCAATTACATTCGACTTTACTACTGATACTTTTATCTATGACTTTTTTTCTTGTTAATTTTTCCAGGAATGAAGCTCACTATTAATGTTACAATAACCCTAGCTTATTCATTATAAATTGTTACAGAAAGCTGACTTCTAAATTGTCTTCACAAATGGATTTGATTAGAATTAAGCTTGAAAATACCAAATTATTCCCATGTGGCGGGTTAAATAATTGATCGTGGAAATATAGACTTCGTTAATAAGCGTTCCAATGGTTCATGAAGGCTAGGCAACAGTATTGCGTTTGAATTGTACACTTGACCTTGTACTCTATGCTCCATATTTCGATCAAGTAACAATACACATTTAGCTGGTATGCATAAGTTTTGTAGATTCATAGGATTGGTTTATCAATGGACTCTGTTTAGCTGAAGACTGTAGAGAGAAACATTCATAATCATACGAACATAAGGATGAAAATTTGACGAAACACAATGGAATAAACTGAGTATTGGCTAAATGAACTACAAAGGAAGTATATTTACTAAATCCCAATGAAGTATAGGTATTATTCTCCTGAGAAGTTACATTCACATTTTTAGATAGAAAGATTTTAGAAATGATATGTCATCGATAAACTTCCACAGACATGAAGAATTGCAACGAAGATTAGAAGGCTATGTAAGTGTAATTTACAACTGAGCGAGTACATCTCCCTGGAGTCCATTGATCGTAAATTCTAGTGGCATTTTATGGTACATTTAACTAACTAACTATCTTAGGTGTTGAGAATGGTGTTTATATTCTGCAAGTTGGGTTGCAACAATACTCTTATGGCAGTTAGTCTTCAAATGAATATATATGTAATATACGTTGAATCAGTTTCTTTAATGTACGGATTTAACGGTCACGTGTCTGTACGTGAATATAAAATGGTGTGTATTATAACTTTTCATTTCCATGTAAACCGCAATTTATTGCGTACAACCTCAAATGAACCTAATGCGAATGGTCGAAGTTTACTTGCATATGATTTATATCAGCGTTGCATTATCGCTCCTACTCCTTGAGATGAGTATAAATTTACAAAAGAAGAATGGAACATTACAAGTCAATTCTACCTACTCACTTTATCAACCTCATTCAACAGCTATATGAAAAGGCGAGCTCAGTAACACCTTTGAATTGAAGACAGGAGTAGGACAAGGCTGCCACCTACCATCACCCATGATCTTCCTGATTGTGGTCGACTTTATCATGCAGTAAACCGTGAGGATCGAGAAGTGGGGCATACGCTGGACTGATGACAAAATCCCAGAAGATTTGGATTTCAACGATGATGATTTATGTTTAATGTCGCACAAACTCGAAGATCTACAGGCGAAAACTAACAAGTTGGCAGATGAGGCGAGGCAGTGAAGACGGGACTTCAAGTGAATGTAGAGAAGGCAAAGGAGATGAAGATACCCAGCCAACAACAGTATCTACAACAAGCATCAATCACCATTAACGACAGAAACCTAAATCAAGTACTCTCTTTCACCTACACCTACCTATACAGGCAGCATCGTTTCAAATACAGGAGGCACAGACGGGGATGTCAAAGTATCCAGGATCGGAAAAGCAAAACAGGCTTTCACTAATCTGAAATCAGTGTGGAGATCTACTGCGCTTAGCACAATGAACAAGATCCGGATTTTCAACACCAATGCCAGTCAAGTCAGTGTTTTTATGTGATGGTTCAGAAAGTTAGTGTGTCACGAAAAGCATTTCCATCAGACAACAGTTATTTATCAACAACCGCCCACGTTGGATCGTTACTGAATCTCAAATGGCCAGAAAGAATAAGCTACAAGGAGCTCTGGCTGGCTGACAACGAACCAATGGAGCAAGAAGCTATTGCTCGACAAATATGCAGCAGAAAGTGGAGATCGATTAGATTGAGCATACACTGAGAAGACCATTTGGAGGCATCACGCCCCAGGCCCTCTAGTGGAACCCAGATGGGAGATGACTAGTTGGGCGTCAGAGGGGAGAGTGACATGGAGGAGATGATATGAGTAAGAAATGAAAGCTTGTTGGCAGTGGTGGGGCCAGGTCCAAAAGACTGCAGAGAAGAGAGTGAGATGGTGACGTGCTACTGAAGCTGTATATTCCACTAGGAACTCAAGGGGAAAATAATAATAGTAAATAATACCTTAAGTGATATAATATAGGGTAAGACATAAACATGCATTTAAATATGAGAAGGCAAATCAGGCTCAATAACATAAAGGCTTTCTTGATCACCTTTAAACAGACGTTTGGAAAGGTACCAGGAAGTGTGATAATTGATTGAAAAATTACATGAATTGAAGGCTTATTGTATTATCGTGAACAAAAGATAGGCGGTAGCAGCTAATCCATATGAAATATGATATTGAAATTACTTACCGACAGTGGTATGTCAATCTGAACAACCACTTTCCATTCCAAAGTTATTTGCATAGTGAAAAAGAATACAACAGGAGCGAATAAGTATTAGCTTCCTTTATATTGTTGAAGTTTTAGCCATCCAATAGAAGAACCTTAGTTTTGTATACAAATGAGATTTGTTCAACTTCTTGTGCTTTCATGGTCCTATGACGAATCGATTCAAAACATTTTTCCTTCTAATTCTTCTATTGTATTATTTTCTCATACATTTCCAACTATTCCTTGTCTCTACACTAATTATAATGAGAATCCACCTAATAAATATTTTGTCAGGCTAGTTTATTTCACTCATTAAAAATTACTCAATAAAAGATTGATGGGACGAATGAAACTCAAAAAGTATAAAGAATTAGACTTTTTAGGATCAAGGCAAGAAGTGCAAGATTTCAAAGATAAATTGGGCTGGTAATAACTAACAACAACAACAAGCTCCAATCACCATCAATGGGAAAAGCTTAAAGGAAGTAGCCTCTTTCACCTACACATAACTAGGCAGCACTGTTTCAACTACAGACGGCACAGACACAGATGAAGACGTCAAAGCCAGTCACCTTCGGAAAAGCAAGACAGGTGTTCATTAACCTGAAACTAGTGTGGAGATCTTCTGCACTACACTCAGCATAAACTGTGAACAACATCCGGATTTTCAACACCAATGCCAGTCAAGTCAGTGTTTCTATGTGGTGGTTGAGAGAGTTGGCGTGTTACGAAAAGCATTTCCAACAAACTACAGATATTCATCAATAACTGCTTACGCTGGCTCGATACTGAAACTCAGATGTCTAGAAAAAATAAGCGACAAAGAACTCTGGAAACGAACCAACGAAGCAAGAACCTATCACCCAACAAATATGCAGAAGATGAAAGTGGGGATGGATTGGGCATACACTCAGAAGGCCGATTGTAGACATCATGCACCAGGTCCTTGAGTGGAATCCAGAGGGGAAACGACGATTTGGGCGTCCGATGGGAGGTTGACGTAGAGGAGATCGTATGAGAGAGAAATGAGAGCTTTTGAGCTGTCATAGAGGCAGGTTCAAAAGACTGCAGAGAAGAGAGTGAGATGGTGACGTGCTACTGAAGCTGTATGTTCCACTAGGAACCCAAGGGACAAATAATTATAACAATTAACTTCATGACTTCTCATCAACTGCAAACAGTCAGAAATAAATGCAGAATGAACATGCGGTGAAATGTGAAACAGACTTTTGAGTTAGAATAAAGTAAACATATCTTAATCCTATTTTGTCCTCTGAGCTAGGTTGTTTAATCATGAAGCTTTCATCGTCTTTCTAGACGACATCATCAGTACTGACTTCAGTATGAGGTGGACACGTACATGTACATTGACAAATTATGGTAGTTCGCGTATGCTTCTCCTTCTGGTGAAATCATGATTAGCTTATCTGAAAGATAAATGAAGAGCATCATTCATGTAGTTTTTCCCTCAAAAACTAAATTTCAGACTCAATAGTATTCAAATGTGCTCAAAAGATACTGAAGAGGCAAATATTTCATGTCGTTTACCACTTACTACTTAATATCTTCAAAAAGTAGTTAGACTATAAAGTCAATAAATAAAAACCAAACATTTAATTTCTTACAACTCAACCTGGAAATTAGCTGACAGTATACGAAATACGTTTTATGACTTGGTATACTCATTTAATTCGTCCATTCGAATTATTATCAAAAATGTTACAGCTTTAATAACCTTGATGGATGTGACTTGGAATGGAATAACATCAATTTTATGAAAATGCAACAGTTCAAATAACACCATTCACTTCTACATCATTAATGACGTAAATAACCTTTTGGACTTTTATTATACATTACATGCGTATAAACTATGATAAAAAAAGTGGTATGACTGTATGAGCTTATGGATAAATACCGTTTGCTTGATTATACAAATATTATTATTATATTATTATTAGTCCTTTGGGTTCCTAGTGGAATATACGGCTTCAGTAGCACGTCTCCAGTGTGTTCTGTTCTCTGAAATCTTTTCAACCTGGCCCCACGACAGCCCACAACCTCTCATTTCTTCCTCGCACGACCTCCTCCATGTCACCCTCGGACGTCCAACTCGTCGCTTCCCATGGGGATTCCACTCGACGACCTAGCCTGACGCGTGATGTCCTCAGTCGGCCTTCTCAGTGCATGCCCAATCCATCTCCACTTCCTCCTGCATATTTGTTGCGTGAAAAGTTCTTGGTTGGTTCGTTCCCAGAGCACATTGTTGCTTATTCTTTCTGGCGTAAGCAGTTGTTGATGAATTTCTGTAGTTTATTGGAAATGCCTTTCGTGACGCGCCAAGTCTCTGAGCCATACAGAAGCACTCATTTGACGTTGGTGTTGAAAATCCGTATCTTGTTCCGCATGCTGAGTGCAGAAGATCTCCACATTGGTTTCAGGCTAATGAAGGCCTGTCTTGCTTTTCCGATTCTGACTTTGACGTCCTCGTCCGTCCCGCCTGTAGTTGAAACAGTGCTTCTTAGATAAGTGAAGGAGGTTACTCCCTTTAAGTTTATCCCGTTGATGGTGACTGGAGTTTGTTGTTGTTGGTGGTGGTGGTGGTGAGGTATCTTCATCACCTCTGTCTTCTCTATATTCACCTGAAGTCCCGTCTTCGCTGCCTCTTCTATCAACTTGTTAGTTTTTGCCTGCAGATCTTCAAGTTTATGTGACATTAGACACAAGTCATCGTTGGCGAAATCCAAATCTTCTAGGTTCTTTTCCGCAGTCCAGTGTATCCGATTATACAAATATATTACAATATAATCTGAACGTATTTAAGAAGTCGAAACATGAATGTGTCGCTTTATAAGCCACAGTTATGTTTTGACATGGTAAAAATCCAAATATTCTAGCGAGAAAGCTTTAGCCTACGTAATGAAATGTTATCAGCTTTTTTAAATGTACTGCGATTATATTAAATCATATTAATATGATGA